CCCTCAAATTCCCAGGGGATCATGTTACTTCCTGCATTAAAAATCTGGTGCAGCCCCTTGGCAGTGCAACTCTGATCATCTGCAAGAAAAAATAAGTTGTGTTTTCATCGTCTTCATTTTCCTTGGCAGCAGATTAAGGGAAAACGGGTAAAGGAAAAGACCACCCCATGCCATGTAAGTATCTGCTATGATTAAGACAGTTCTAGAATTATATATATATTTCACATCATTAATGACAAGCACACAATGCACAGATGAGAAGCTTTAGTTCTTCTATAGTGTGTGCTTATCCATTAAGATACAACTGAGTTTACTCTTACTCTTTTCCAAGAGAAAGGTAATGTGCAATGTAGGGGTTTTTTCTTACACAAAAATGCACTGGCCTTAAAATAATGGGATGTTCACTAGTTTTTACTTGGGTATGTTTTGCATATATTTGAATGTTACGTTATTTTGTAACAATTCACAGGCATTTCTATGAGCTTACAAGTTTAAATAAGTTCTGCTACCTTAGTTAAGATTCATGATGTTCTTATTGGATTGAGTTGCTTTAAAATAATTAGGATGTGGGTTTCCTCCCTTGGAATAGCTGGGTGGTATAAATAGTTATTCTATAGGCTTCTTACTGAAAGGTTGGAGATTTGAGTTCACCCAGAGGCATCTTGGATGAAAGGCCTTATAGATCAGCCCCTTTGGAAAACTTATGAAGCACAGTTCTTCTCTGATATACACAGGCGTCACGTGAGTTGGAAGTGACTTGACAAAACTAGGTTCCTCCCTTATGTTAAGGTCTCAAACCATTCCACTGAGAGTGTGTGACATTAATGTTTATTGTTTCTTATGATTAACTGTTTACTCATTGATTTCATTTAATTAAATCTGTTCATTTATCCTGGACTTGGTCACACGTAGTTGGTAGAGTTATTCTAAAATGGGTTCTCCCTTCATTTAAAAGTAATAAGATTATTCACTCATTTTGTTGACTAAATATAATAATAATAATTCTCTGTGTTCTTCATTAGCAAACTGAGTTTGTAAAAAACTGCAAATATCAAGTAGGAAGCATTCATGGAGCACATTTGGTTTACCTGCAGCCTATGGGGTTTATTCTGTGACATATCTGAGTATATCTGTATTTACACAGAGCAAGTCACAGGGTTTTGAATCAGAAAAAGCTTGACTGGAAAATCTCTATAGAAGATTATATATAACTTTGGTTTTCATTGTATTTCTGTTTTCATATCTTCTCTGACTCCCCAACTAGGGAAAACAAAACAAAATAACAACAAACAGTTTTGAAGTAAACAGCAAATGAGATCTTAACCTTCTGGTCTTGGAAGGACATACAATGCCTTTATCCAGAAGCATTACTCCAAGGAGGCCAGAAAAGTGACAGCTTATACTTTTTCATTTTAAAATTATGTTCTTTTTGAAAGTAAATATACATAGTACAAAAGAGCCCACAGCACGTCTCCTTCCAGTTCTCTGCTTCAGAAGCAATTCAGGTATTTGGCTCTTGTGTATCTTCCCAAAGCGATTCTATACATATATGAACTGCATGCAAATAGCATATATTGAAAACACCAGCAACAGCAGCAAAACCCATTTGCCATCAAGTCCATTCCAACTTATGACAGCTCCGTGTGTGTCAGAGTAGAACTATATAGAGAGTTTCAGTGCCGGATTTTTCAGAAGCAGATAACCAGGCCTTTCATGTGAGGTGCTTTTGGGTAGACTCAAACTGACAACCTTTTGGTCTGTAATAAAATGATTAACCATTTGTGACATTCAAAGACTAAATAACATAAACTCCTTCCCAATCATCTTATATCAATAACAGCATGGTATATACAGAATTAACTTACTCCTTTTTTCTTTCTTTCTTTAAGTTTTTATTGTGGATTGAGTGTAAGTTTACAGGGCAGATCATCAATTTTACATTCAACAAATCATACAACTTGTTTGATCACAATGATTACATTCCCCTCCATGTACCATCGGTTAATAGTATTTCTCTCTATTCACTGTAGCTCTCTTTAAACAAAACAAAACAAGCCCCACCACAACACTCAGGCATATATCATAATTTACACCTCCAAAGGGCACATTCTGCAAGTCTGCCTTCTGGCCACCAGCTCTCAGTCCCTCGCTTTCCTTTCTCTGTGTTCCCATCTCTGCCTCCATCTCTGGTGTTGCTGCTTCTCTGGATACGGTCCCGCATTCCACTTGTGCTCTTCTCCCTTGATGGTCCTCGGGTCCTTTGTTTCTGGACTGTAAGATTAACTGCTCCCCCATTTTTGTTACAAAACTTCTGCCTTTACAGTTGTGACAGTCGCAATTAGTCATGATAACAATTACTCACTATTGAATCATAAGAATCTTATCCCCATCTCTTTTAACCAGACCCATCTAGACAAGATGAAAACTATTCAGTGGGGCTCTTTCTTCCCCCACACACTCTTAAATTAAACTCCCTCTTGAAACCTTGACTTACTCTTTTACCTATTAATATTTGTTGTTGTTTTTAAGTGCCATCGAGTCCGTTTTGACTCATAGTGACCCTGTATAGGATTCCCAAGGAGCAGCTGGTGGGTTTGAACTGACAACCTTGTGATTAGCAGTCCAGTGCTGATCCTATAATGCCACACTAGGAGTCTTTAGTAATATTTTGGACCTAAAGAACCCATTGTTTTTTATGGCTGTATAGTATTCCACTGTATGGAGGCTCCAAAATATACTTAACCACCCATCCAGGTGATGCTATTCAGGCTGTTCCCAAGCAGTGCTGCAATGACTAACCTTTGTTGTTGTTAAGTGTTGTCGAACAGGTTCTGGCTCATAGCGCCCATGTATAGGGTTTCCAAGGAGCGGTTGGTGAGTTTGATCCACCGACCTTGCTGTTCAAACTGCCCTTGCAGTCCAGTGCTTATCCTACAATGCCACACCAGGACTCCAGCCTTTAGCAGACATCATTCCATATATGTTCTTACATATTGTTAGGCTAAATTCCTAGAGATAGAATTGCTGGGTCAAAAGTAAAACCACTTGATTCCTAGTCTATTCCTACTTCTGGTGACTCTATGTGTCAGAGTAGAACTGAGCTCCCTAGGATTTTCAATGGAAGGGTTTTCAGAAGTAGACCACTGGGCCTATCTTCTGAGGCATTTCTGGTTGCACTTGAACCTACAACCTTCTGGCTAGCAGCTGAGCAGAGTTAACACCACCCAGGGACCTCCTGGTCAAAGGTAAGTGTATTGGTAATCTTGATAGCTCTTGTCAATGTGCCCCTCCATACTGGCTGTATGAATTCACACTCTCCTGGCAATTAGGTAATCTCCTGATCACACCACAGACACCAGTATGTTCTAAAACCTCAAGGGTTTATAAGCATGATAGGTCACAAAATGCTATCTTGTTATAATTTTCATTTGCATTCTTATTCTTGTTAGATGTCCTTCAGTCTCTTTAAACCCAGAACTGTCCTATAGGGTTTTCTGTAGGATCAGAACTGGACTGGTTACTACAAGGTCATCAATTCAAACCCACCAGCAGCTCTCAGAAACTCTATACAGGGTTGTTATGAGTTGGAACTGACTTGACAGCATGCAATAACACAACAAGGTTTTCCTGGTTGTAATCTTTACTGAAGCAGATCACCAGGCTTTTCTCCCTCAGAACAACTGGTGGGTTCAAATCTCCAGATTTTTGGCTAGGAGCCAAGCACTTAGTTTGTGCTACCAGAGTTCCTTGTTTTTTTAGTATGAATGAAGTTGAGAAGTGGTTGGGCTTTTTTTTTTTTTTTCACGTTCAAGGTCCAATTCTTCTAAGACCTGTTTGCCCATATTCTTTGCCTATTTCTTTACCTGATTTTTAGACTTTTTCTTATAGGACCAAAGGCTATTAACTAAATCTGTTATAAATTGAAGTATTTTCTAGTTTTTCATTTGTCTTTTGATTTTATAGTATTTTTGTCATGTAATAAAGTTTTATGTAGCTGAATTTAACAATGTGATTTCTTATACATATTTTTATTTTGCTTTTGAATTTTTGTGTTATGCTTAGAAAGTATTTCCCAATCTGAAATGACTAAAAAAAAACAAAAAAAAACTGCCCTGTATTTTTCTAGTATTTTTCATTGTTTCAAGTTTTATATTAAGATATCTTATTCATTTGTCTGGGTGTTTTGGGTACATAAAGTAAGAGATATGGACCCAACACAATATTGTTCTAATGCTACTTATTGAAGAATTCATCTTATCTACAGCTCTGGTAGTGTAGTGGGTATGAGTCAGGCTACTAACCTCAAGGTCAGCAGTTCGAAACTACCAGCAGTTCTGCTAGAGAAAGATGAGGCTTTCTGCTCCCGTAAAGATTTACAGCCTTGGAAACCCTGTACAGGGTCGCTATGAGTTGGAACCAACTCCATGGCACACAACCACCACCACCATACTGATTAGAAATACTCCTTTATTTACCAAATTCCAATTCCTGACTATTGATGGTTGTTTTAGTATGTTTCGTCCATCTACCTGTGTAAGTACCAGTACCACACTGTTTTAGCTATTGTAGTTCCTTCAGGAGAGTTTTTAGGAAGAGTTACATCTGATTCTGAGGTCTCTGGGTGGTGCAAACAGTTAAGCACTTGGCTGTTAACCAAAAGGTTGGTAGATCACACACTCCCATAGGCTCCAAGGGAGAAAGATGTGGCAATCTCTTCCCATAAAGATCACAGCCTAAGGAAACTTATGAGAGAGTTCTAGTATGTCTCATGGGTTCTCTGAGTTAAAATAGACTGGATGGCATCTAACAACAATATGCTGTTTCATCTCCTATCCAAGAAGGTTGATGTTTTGAACTCTTGATTTTTAAAATATAGTGGTATATATGCATCGGTTGTTAGACTCTTAGCAGTCAACAAATAAAATCCCTATAACAGTCTATTTCCCACTAGTATGAGGACCACCCCTTCCTGGACTTGGCCAGGCAGCCCTTTGCTCAGGATGAAGGGTTTCATCTACACTCTTTGTTTCTCAGTGACCCAGTGGACTCCTCAGGGGGCCCCCAACCAGACCCAAGCCAGCGCTCTCCTGTGGCCGCTGCTGAGAGATCACATGTCAGGGAAGAATGACACTAACTCCTCCCGGGCCCTGAAGCTCCCAGACGGGATGAGTGCTGCCTGGTACATCCTCACCATCATCGGCATCTACGGGGTCATTTTCCTCTTCCGGCTGGCCAGCAACATCCTCAGGAAGAATGATAAGTCCTTGGAAGATATTTATTACTCAAATTTGACCACTGAACTAAAAAGGAAAGGACTCCAGAGCAATGTAGCCACGTGTTCTGCATTGACCGTTAGCAACAGAACCATCCTAGAACCCACCCAGGGCAGCCCAGAGCCAAAATGTGGAGACAACGGGCTCCACACTGGAACCCAGGCTATCCCATGAAAGTCAAGACAATCTGTCCTCCACAGGGGAGACACCAACCTTCTTGTGGTGAAGCTGCTGTGGGTTTATTTGGAACCTTGAGAGTAGGGCTGTGTCCTTCAGTGGGGCTAATGGAGAATCTCTGTGGGCACTTATGACTGAGTGAGGAGAGTGTGACCAGAAGCCAGCATCCTTTGTCCTGAGAATTTCTGGTCTTTTGAGAGCAGAGAGCAGGGACAGCCTCTTCCAGCCATGCTCCTTCTTCACTGGGGACAGGTACGGGCACAACAGGCTAGGCTAGATTCCACAATTGAGGCCCAGGGACCTTAGGAGAATCCAGGAGTTTCCTGGGAGATGTATGTGGAAGAAACCTCTGGTCACAGAAAAAAAAAGCTGAATTTGAAGTCAAACACCACAGTTAAAACCTCTGAGGGCGGGTCACATAAACTTTGAGCACCTAGTTCCACACTTGGAACATACAGGGGTTGAGATAAATGGATCCATTTTATTAGAAACTCTGACTTTCACTTATGGTCAAAGTTGTTGATCTCAACAGTTAGTCAGGAATTCTTTATTTTCATGGGGTGGTTCAATGAGAAGAACATTCATTTTTGAATCACAAGAACCAGACTCTAGTCTGAGTTTGATTTCAGGGGACCACTTCTGTGCTCTTGCACAATCACTTCACCTTTTGGGACCTTTCTATACAGGTGTAATGAGGATAATGATGGCAGTTCTAACAACTTTATAAAGTACCTAAAACCTAAAGAGCTCATGCATATAAACATATTTGGAAAAGTAAAATCACTATGTAAAGATAAGCCTTGTGGTGGTGGTGGTTTTAGTGGTGTCAGTTGATGCCGCTGCTGGTGGTAGTATTGATTGATGGTGATGGTGGTGTTGATGGTGACAGTTGATGATGATGGTGTTGGAGGTGATGGTTAATGCTGATGGTACTGATGGTGGTGGGTGCTGATGTTAGTGGTGGTGGTGGAGATTGATGGTGATGGTGGTAGACATTTGATATTGATGGTATTAGAGGTTGATGGTGTTGATGGTGGTGGTGTTGATTGATGGTGTTGGTGGTGTTGATGTTGATGGTAATAGAGTTGATATTGATGGTGTTAGAGGTTGATGGTTAATGCTGCTGTTGCTGTTGCTGGTGGTGTTGACTGATGATGAAGGTGGTGTTGATGGTGGTAGATAGTTGATATGATGGTGTTGGAGGTGATGGTTAATGCTGATGGTGTTAGTGTGGTGGTGAAGGTTGATGGTGATGGTGATGCTCTTCTGGAATAGAAGTTTATCTGCAAAACAACTGACCCCAGGGGATTCACATTTTACATGTAGACAGACAGACACATTTAGGTTTTGTCACATCATATGTGCTCGTATGATTCATGAAAATGTTCTACAAATATCTGTTACTTGTATCTCTGCCTAAAAAAGAAATAAAATCATACCTAGATAACTGCTTAATTAAAGGAGATTGCAATAAGCTGAATTTCTAAATGACTTTCAGCATGCAAAGAGCAAAATTATATATTTGATTCAAAATATATTTTGAAACCACATCTATGAAGTTCAACTAGCTAGGTTTAGGGAGATATCTACTGGACTAGAACTAGAGATGATGTTTTGTTTTGTTTTTCTTCTTATTTGAAGAAGGTAATTCAGAGGTCTACCTGTGAGGTCCATGTTCAGGGAATCACATAGCTCATTAGGGACCTGGTATTTAATAAACACATCTAAGGATTAGTCCTTGTGTGGCACTGTAGGATAAGCAGTGGACCACAAGGTCAGTTTGAATGGCAAGACTGGTGATTCAAACTCACCAACTACTCCTTGGAAACCCTATACAGGGTTGCTACAAGTCAGAACTGACTCAGTGACACTTAAGAACAACAAAGGATAAACACTGGATCACAAGATTGGTTTGAACTGTAAGGTTGGTGGTTCGAATTTACCAGTCGCTCCTTGGAAACCCATACAGAATCACTGAGTTGGAATCGACTCAATGGCATTTAACAACAACTGAGGGAGATTCAGGACAGATCACTTTTTAAATATATATAATGTGATGAAAATATACAAAAACACTTACCAATGCAGCAACTTTCACATTTACCATTCAGCGACATTGGTTCTACTTCCCATGTTATGCCTTCACTATTGCCACCCTTTTCCAAAATATTCTCCTGCCCTAAACGTAAGCTCAAGGCCTCCCAACCCCAAATGATTCCTTACCTCCTGACTGCCCTCCCTCATAACCACTAACCATCTTTGTTTTTCTATATGTTTGCTTATATTATTTGAGATCATACTGTTTTTGTTCTTTTGCAACTAACTTATTTCTCTCCGCGTGTTTTCAAGTTTCATCCAAATGCGGCCTTTCTCTTTCTGTCTGTGTGCTGTTCCATTGTCTTGTCACACTTGTTTATTCATGCATTTACTAATGGACATTTTGGTTGCTTCCACCTTTTGGCTATTGTGAAGTATGTTGCAGTTAGCATTGATGTACAGGTTTCTGTGTGCATCCCGTCTTTCCTTTGTTCTGGGTACATGCCAAGGATTGGGAGTGATGGTTCATATGGTAGTTCTGTGTTCAACTTTTTTAGGAACCACCAAACTGTTTCCACAGTGGCCACACCATTTTATAGTTCCATCAACAACAAATGAGTGTTCCAATTTCCCCACAACCTTGCCAACACTTGTGGGGAATTTTCTTTTATCTTTTTTTGATTGCCATTTTATTTTTATGATTGCCATTCTAAGAGGGGTGAGGTGATTAGTTCATTGAGATATGAATTTGGATCAATTTTTAAAGGGTACTGTGTAGTGTACAGCATGGAATATTGGTGAATTGGAACAATATGTTACAACAGAACTGAAAATTAGATTGGTAAACCTCAGAAAAAAAGACATTTATGCTACCAACCATCAGCACTAGTGGTATAATTAAAAAACTTAATGAAGTGAAACCAACCAGCAGGGGAATGTTATTGAGTCTCCAGTAACAATTATAAATAAATTAAGTCACTGCATTTCAATGACATGGATTTCTGTGTTGCTTTCATGTGTGAACAAAACCTATACTTCTCTGAAGAGTATCATTGTTATTGCTATAATTAGTATTTCCCAGGGAGGTCCTGAGAGGTCTGCACCCCAGTCATGTTCTTCCTGGCTGGTTTGAAACCCTGCCTTCACAAGCCTATGCTGCCGCCATAGTAGCCCAGCTTAGCACTTTCACCCATACATCTCCATTAGGACCAAGCACAGGAGGAAACCGCTTCCTCTCCAAATCTGACAGGGCCTCTTTTCCCATATCCCCACCTTGCAAATATGCTTAGCAGGAAGTTACATTAGGAAGTTTAATTAGCAGAAAGCAAATAAAGTAGGATCTCAGCTGGAGCCCAGACAGTATCCCCCGCTGAGGTCAGATGTGTCTGAGCCTATGTTCATGAGTCTTTGTGCATGAGGAGTAAAAGAAAGGGGTAAGAGGAATGCAGACGATAGGTTTGGCTCCCTCAGGACCAAGAATCCCAAGACTGAACTGTAACCTTTCAGGTCACAGGCACACCCTGAGCCATGGAGTGGGAACAGGACTGGAATCAGCCAATTGGCTTAACCCTGTAGATTCCTCTAAAGGAATCTGAGCTGCATGGGAAAGTTTCTGGGAGTATTGCCAGGAGGAAGAATAAGGAAATGGAAGCAGGCTAGATAACCATTGTCTACTAGAAGAAGGGAAGAAAAGTAACTCCAGCAAAGATTTTTATGAGTCAGAAAAAAAAAAAAAAAAAGACTAAAATGGTTGTTAGAAGAGACTCTGAAACATGCTCTTGAGCATTGAGAAGCTGAAGTCACTGGAAGGAATGATGAAGTAAAAGAGCTAAATAGAAAATGTCAAAGGGCAGCTAGAGAAGACAAAACAAAGTGTTATAATGAAATGTACAAAGACCTGGATCAGAAACCCAAAAGAGAACACACTCAGTATTTCACAAGCTGAAAGAACTGAAAAAAAAAAAAAAAATGCAAACTTAGAGTTGCAATATTGAAGGAGTCTGTGGACAAAGTATTGAATGATGCTGAAGACATCAAAAGAAGATGGAAGAAATATGCAGTCACTGTACCAAAAAGAGTTGGTCCATGTTAAACTATTTCAAGAGGTAGTGTATGATCAAGAACTGATGGTATTGAAGGAAGAAGTCCAGTCTGCACTGAAGGTATTGGCAAAAAACAAGGTTCCAGGAATAGGCGGAATATACATTGAAATGTCTCAACAAACTGATGTAGCACTGGAAGTTCTCACTCATCTATGACAAGAAATTTTCAAGACAGCTACCTGGCCAACCATTTGGAAGAGAACCAAAGAAAGGTGATCCAATGGAATGTGACAATCATCAAACAATTTTACTAATATGACATGCAAGTAAAATTCTGCTGAAGGTCGTTAAAAATCAGTTGTAGCAGTACATCAACAGAGAGCTGCCAGAAATTCAAACCAGATTTAGATGAGGACATGGAACTAGGGATATCATTGTGGACATCAGATGGAACTTGGCTAAAAGCAGAGAGAATACCAGAAGGAAATTTACTTGTGCTTTATTGACTATGCAAAGGCATTCAGCTGTGTGGATCATAACAAACTATGCATACTATTGCAAAGAATGGGTTTGCCAGAACACTTATTTATGCTCATGAGGAACCTGTACATAGACCAAGAGGAAGTCATTTGAACAGAATAAGGGAATACTGAATGGTTTACAGTCAGGAAAGGTATGTATCAGAGATGTATCCTTTTATCAGACTTATTCAATCTGTATGCTGAGCAAATAATCCAAGAAGCTGGATTCTATGAAGAAGAATGTGGCATCAGGATTGGAGGAAGACTCATTAACAACCTATGACATGCAGATGATACAGCCTAGATGACTGTAAGCAAAGAGGACTTGAAACATTTACTGACGAAGACAGAAGGCCACAGCCTTCAGTATGGATTGCACCTCAGTGTAAAGAAATAA